ATCACCTTCCAGACACAATGCGACTAAAGCGTTACTATATTATGCGTTACTGATAACGAGTAACGCAAGCGTTATTGCGTTACTGGTAACGAGTAACGCATGCGTTACTGCGTTACCTGTAAAGAAACGGTAAAGCGCCACCCCTAATTTTGAATATACTAGATTTTACAAAATGAGCACCATCGTCGATTTACGAACTCTGATATTTTGACTATAACTCCGTCATTTTTTATCCGTTCTGTTCGAGCAACATCTCATTCGAAAGCCTGATAAAAAGTAAACAAAATTACATAATTTCTAATTTTTCTGAAGTAGGAAGCTACTGTTTAAAACCCACATCGGTTGGAGAATTGGGATTTTGAAGGGTCAAAATTTTCGAGAAAATACCACTTTTGAGCCTCCAAACGAAATTTCCCTAACAATTCGAAGGTCACATGCCATAGAGAATTCACTTTTCCACAAACTGAGCGTAAAAACTTTGTTTTAAAAGTGGTGAAAAAGTTCCAAAATTTAAAAACGAGATGGCCGATCAACCGCGGGTTTTCAGTTTTTTGAGATTTTAGTCAAGCCAATATCAGACATTTAAATGCCTGATATTGGCTTTACAATACATGGAATATAAAATTTTGACATATTTTCTGAATATGGTTTCTTTATGAAGAAAAGTACACTTCTTTGCATGGTGCATATGAACTTGTTCTGGCTTCCAACTCAAAATGGTAGATCAGTTTTGACTCTTGAATAACATCTGCACGAGTTGAGAAACTGTAACGCAAACACAAACCGGGACAACACAGAAGATAAAAAGAACCCGATCTGAGCAGATCTGGAAGAATCTAGTTGCAGATCTTTATTTTGAACCATTAAATATTTCGAGCTAAAACTTTTAAAATAACTTAGTCAAATAATACAGTCCTGTGCAAAATTATAGAGACGATTTGTTTTTTGATTTTCTGCTCGACCGTGAATAGAGGGAACAAATTTGAAAAGCGGTTTGGCTAGCTGAAAGATTTTCCAATCAGATGAGGTGTATATGAAAATTCATTAAAATTCCTTCAAGCCAGGTCCCTGAAAAACTAAGATTTTAGAAAACCTCAAAGAGATTGTCGACGTCTAGTTTTGTTTCGAAATGTTTGCTCTACACGAATGAGCTGTTTACAAAAGATTTCCGTTGAAATACAGGAACTTGATCTTTTTGAGATTTTCTAAAATCTTAGTTTTCCAGAGACCTGTTTTGAAGAAATTTTCATATACATCTCATCTGATTGGAAAATTTTCCAACTAGTCAAATCACTTTTCGGATTTGTTTTCTCTATTACGGTCGAGCAGAAAAATCAGAAAAAGAAATCGTCTATAATTTTGCACAGGACCGTAGTTCAGAATTTTCGAAAGTTTGAAATTTCACCTACATCCAAGTCGTGAATTCGAGTGACCAAAAAGTTTGACCTCTTTCATGAGAAAATCTTACAAATTGCTTTTTCTCAGAACATACATTATTTTAGATATACTTTGATACTGATCACAAAACTAATATTCATTTATTTCTATAATCCTTTTTACATGACTCTACAGAAATCTAACATGCAAATACTATCAGATAGTAGAGCATATCGAGTTATTTATGTAAAAAGATTTGTGGAACTAACAAATCAGTTCCTTTATAACTTTATCGTGAATGAAATCGTAAAGTTGCAGCATCAAATGCGTGGTCACGTATGAACTTTCGGCAATTCCACACACGTTCACAAGCGAGGATTTCTTTTCACGTGTGTCCACACATTGGTTTACGACTTTTACTAGTGACCACGTGCGAAAAGTTTCCGTGTTCACACATTGTCATACGTGGAATATATTTTTTACGCATGTCAACACACCATTTTAAGATGTTCACGTGCAACCACAGTTCATTCACCATATTCAGGGGTGTACACGCCATTTTATATACTAAAATTTCCCCATTGGAAAAGTGAGAAGAGCCAACAGTTTCATGGGAGTATTCGCATTTCAAAAATATAACTGAGAAACTATCAAATATTCTTGTTGGAGATGTTTATATCAGTGTAAAAATTTTACCATTTCTATTTGAATAGCAAATGATTTCGATGAAGACAATATTGAACTAGTGATAATTTTCAAATGTGTTTATTTTTACTTCAAATTTTAGAAATACGAATACATTTACTTGTTTCTTCGATTAACTAATAGTTAATCAATGTGTTCACATTACAAAAAATGAGCGTAATCCAAAAGATACAATATTTCTAAGTATCCTTTCAGAAATGTCAGAAGATCTTTGACTAATTAAGTTTTCTCTAAAAATATGTTGTTTTATTACTTACTCTTTGCCGAAACGACACTCCAATCTGTCATAGTTTTAAACTAACATATTTGAAAGTGAAAAAATTATGCATATATCAATCATTAGTTTAATTTTCTCTTGTTAAAAGTCAGAAATTTTTTTTACTTTTCAATCCCCTTAATTTATTATTAATAATAAAATAAGAAAGAAACACGATCAATAGCACACGTTTAACTGATAAATGATACAATATATGTTTATATACATTGGTAACAAAATGTGATAATAAAAATTCATTTCTATGCATAGATTTGAAGTGAATAAAAAAACTTCATCTCATTTTGTTCTTTCTCTAAAAACTATGAAAAGAACGAAGAATTAAAAAAATATCATGTTAACTTCTAACTTGTTAATTTAAAAACAATAAATAACTCATGTCATCAGAGTTATATATTATTTTCAAATTGTTTCCTTTAAGTAAAGATCAAAAGAAAGTAAGCGTATTTAGTACATAATAAAGAGAAAAAGTTGAAGGTGTTAGTTATACAGCTAAAGTAAGGAAAAATACATTAAATTAAAGTTTACAAAAAAAAACCGAATGATTACGTGATTCAGAGAGTACATACAAACAATCAGTTTAGAGAAAATTAATATTAAAAATTATCAAATAAATGTCATCCAAAAATTTTGAAATCTTATTCAGTCGAAGCCAAATATAGATTTATCGCTTACATTATCCATAACAAATTTCGAATCGAGATACTGTTCAGAAATTCTTCTCTGTTATTTTGTTAAATAACTTTTTTGAGAAGTTCTTAAAGTAGGCAAAACACTAAACAACATCGTGAACTTTCTCAACAGTATTTCAATCCGAAATTTATTGCGCATAAACGTAAACGATTATGGAGAGTTCAAATCTTTAATCGGCTTCTATTGAATAAGATTTTTTTTTTAAACTTCGCGATTAAGTTGATGTAAAAAGTTCATCGATCATAAAAAATCACAGATTAGATCATAATGTATATGTACATATGACATAGAGAAGTTCTATTTCTTCTAAATATTCTACCAGTGTTCAGGGATTCGTATCACGAAAAAATTCAAGTCTAAGTTTAAGACCGATTTAAGTCCGGGAACTTAAACTGTATCACGAAAAAGACTTAAGTTGGCGATTTGTTTACTTTTTAAAAATCGTTGACAACAGTGACAAACTTGGGACAAAAACCCGCAAAATAACGAAATATTTATTCTCTAATCCATGGAATGTCGTTTTCGTCGAATTGTATCGTTAAATGCCTGATCTATTCGAAAAATGCGTCAGTGACTTAAGTTTTCGGTCTTGACTTTCCCACGGGTTAACTCACCCTGTGACTTAAATTTTTTTATAATACGGCAAAACTTAAGTCCAAAGATTTAAGTTAGACTTAAGTTTTTTTGTGATACGACCCCCAAACATTTGAGACTATTGATAAAATTAAAACTCACGAGGGAATTACCCAAGTGTACAATCGTTTTCCTCTCGTAACATAGTTGTTCCAGTGTTACTTTTGATGCTGATCACGAATGTAATGTCGAGGTTTGCTCTTAGTGCTTCTCTCTATAGACTTGAGAACTAATAAATATGCTTTTACTAAGATATGTGGCTTTTACCAGCGTGAAATCTCGATTTCATGTGTTTTTCTCGTTTCATTTTCACTATTTAACTTCTTCAACCTTTTCTTTTTATGATGTGCTGTATACTCTTACTTTTTTTCGACCTTTACTTCCTATTCATTTCATTGGAGATACTGTGGCTCTCAGTTTTCACGCTGGTAAAAGCCACATATCGTAGTAAAAGCATATCCATTAGTTCCCAAGAAGTGGGAGTATGAGCAACTCACTATGCTCTAAAATCTAGCTGTATCAGAATTTCTGTAAATGGAAGTTAGTGATCGATTTGTAAAGACTAGATTTCTAGAAGTCTATAGAGAGAAGCACTAAGAGCAAACTTGAACATTACGTTCGTGATCAACATCAAAAGTGGCACTAAAACAACTATGTTACGAGAAGAAAACGATTGTACACTTCAGTGGTTCCCTCGTGAGTTTAGTATGCAAAGGGGAGAAGAAGCATTAATGCTGAAAGGAGTGTTGTCTAGCGTTGAAAAGTGTGTCAGAGCTGAAATTAGTAAAACTTAAGTGTTTCTACCTATAATTTTGAAACAGTAGTCGTTCATGTGAAACACTCCTTGTTTTCCTGTTAGTTACAAAGGAGAGCTTCAAAATCCCTTTCTTTCAAAAGAATTTTATTATAACACTTTCGCCATTTATGGACCTTTAGCAAAAATTAATAAATAATAATGTCTGTAGATTTAATTTCGACTCTACATCTGTTTCTTAATAAATGGACTGATCGATCAACATTGTATGCATGATAAACCAAAATGCATCTCAACCCAAATGGATAATTCTTTTTTGAATTATTCAACCCGTTTGTGCAGAAAAATCAGAGGCTTTCAACCTAGGGGCTTAAGATAGATAAGCTCCTTGTCATTTTGTGTTCCCTAAAAACATTCGACTTTTGGAATAAAATCAAACTAATGTGTTGTGTTAAATCAGAATTTTCTCAAAATTTACAAAATGTACTCTCTGAAATTTTATTCCAGGGTGGAAGCCTCTGAGAAAAATGCCCGGGATTATAAATGGGGTTGAAGGATCAAGTTTCAACCACATGTACTAGTCACGGGTGGTGGTGGAACGGTTGCCGGCATTGTCGGCGCTTGCTGACGTTTTTGGATCTCCTGTTTAATTAAATATTGTTGGACATGATGTGGAAGGCCAGGATTAAGACTTAAAGCGTATGGTAAGATCATTTTTGGCATATCTGCAAAGTCGACAATTACTTTGATGAACATCGTATCATCTCGAACGTAGTTATTACCATCTTGTTGAATCATCGGTAACGGAAAGAATTTTGGAATCCCGGAAGCAATATTCATGTCAGAACGTGGCCTCTGAAAACTATTCGACTTTGTATCCGGTCTAAATGAATCGATAACGTGACGATTTTGTCCAGACTGATCATAGAGACAAAAGGTGACCTTGAAATTAAATGGCCATTTGAGGATAGAATCATAATCACCTCTCATAAGTACAAAAAACAATGACATATGAGTTCTTCTAGCATTTCCATCACCATGAAGATAGAGTCGAACACGCATTTTATATCCAGTTGGTGATGAATAGAATGCGGGTGAGTAAATACTCGTCTGTCTTTCAGACTGAGCATCAGCCATTTTTTCTGATACATCACTGACTTTCCATGTTAGAGTACCATCGAACGATCTAAATTCCATACTATCTATTTTTTCTTTGATGCTCGATAGTTCTTGTTGTAAAATTTCTTGATTAGGTGCTATTCCTGCTAAATATATATCTTTTTCTTCCATTGACTTCTTCAAATCATTGGATTCTTTATAGATTGTTTGTATCGAATTATTTAAACGTAATGAATCTGTACTTAGCCTGTTTGTTTCCTGTGTTATTGTTTGTATACCTTGGGATAATGTCATTAATAATTCATAACATTTTTTATGCGTAGCATATAAATCATTGATTTGAGTTTCTATGTTAGCATTACTAGAGTTTTGTGCTGGTTCAATATTTTCACATTCCATGAAATGTTGATCGATTACATTTTCTTGTTTGACTGCTGTTGAAGAAGGAACATTGCTGTTTGTTAAAATATGGGTAATTGATGAAATGTTACGATCGGTGATATCAAGAGGGCCAAATTTAGATTCAATAAGTTGAATGAATGATAGAATAGCTCCTTGATGAGATTCATGCAGAAGGTGAGTACCAAATTGACTTCGAATAACCTTAATAAATAAAAACCGTCTGTTAGTTTTTGAGAAAGATATTGCTGGATGAAACTTACTTTATCAGCACAACCATATTTCTCCAATGGGCAGGTAATAAGCGCTTTAGGACATGAATCAGTTTTATGTTTGTCTAATATACTAGTCGAGGAAAACTTTTCATTACATAATTCACATTGAATGTTTGAATGACATTCATCAAGATGTGACTAAAATGGAAGTAGAACATTTCAAATTAACGATAATAAGTTTTATCATTTTGTAAGTCCGTATTAGAATTATGCTACAGAACATAGGGACATTTAGATTTAGTACGATAGAAACACAAACTAGAACTTACATGTTCAAGTTCATCAAGAAAGTTCTCACTGTAAGGACAGAACTACTAGAATCATATATTCAGCATAAATATGACGATGCGGATGTTTTTCCAGATGCACAAAGAACGTCTATTCATTCGACATCTTCCAGTAGATCGCCAGTCAAAGGATACAGGATGTTTGCTGACATGAAAAAGCACATTTTTAGCAGAGATAGGAAGATTCAGGTCATATGTCCAGATCTGACTTAGCAAAAGTAGACCTGAACCTGTGATCTAAAGTCTTAGATTCGTATTTAAATATCTATCTATCTCGTGCTTCTCACATATTCTAAGAATTCTTTTTGAACTGTAGTACAAAATATCGCAAATTCGCAATACTCTCAGAATTTTTTCACACAATGGACCTAGCGCCCAGGTCCGCAGGTCAAGATTCACGTTTGTAGGTCAGGACCACGTTCTAGACAAAATTGTTCGTTTTATCGAATAACAGTAAACCACCCAAAAGTTAGACTTTCTAGTTTCTTCTACAAATTTTGACCTTGTCGCATCTGAGCATGTCACAGGTCCAGGTATTCTGTCTCTAATTCTTAGACAAGCTCTATGCGTTCATGTAAGTAATTCAAAAGACTAGAAACTCATTATGACTATTAGAAAAAATTCATGTAAAAAGTTCGATGAAAAAATGGTTATGAGAGGCAGAGACCTAAAGCTACAACTGAAAAACAAAGAATTAGATCATCAGTATCATCATGCTACAGAGCAGAATTAATTATACGCCCATATTTTGAAAATAGTTATTGAACATATTTTATATTTACATGTACTTATGAAAATCAGATCAGAAGTGTCATATAATATAATTTTTTTTATGCATAAATGCTACGGGGAAAAAAAGCACACTCTATGGGATACTCCACTAGTAGAGATGTTCGTCACGCCGCCGTCAATAGAAACATCGGCTAACACATCTATCTACTACCACTCCGTTCGCTTTACTCGCTCCTCGAAGTGAACAAAGTTTCCCTTTCTCACCTTTTTCAAATACAACAACAGTGTTCTAAATTATATTTTCTGATTTTTTTCACTCAACTACCGTGAGTATTTTAAACTAAACCATCACCAATTGATAAATAATCATTAATATTGCTAATTGATTCGTATTCGGACAATGATGCACTTTACCTCGTATTACACTACTTTTGTTGAGAATAGCGGCGTAGTCACGATTTTGTTAGTAGAGGATAGGCATGCACCTTTTACTTTCAAACGTAAAGAAAGATCCACTTTTTTTATGAAACGTAATCAGTTGTAGTTAGTAGCGAAGTTATTATTACTTCGCTACACTTCTTCCTATGTAGTACGCACATATTTTGTGACACACAGTCGAGAAGATCTCAGTTTTCCATAAGCAAATTTAAAAAACGTTGTTTTGATGTAAACTGTATTCTTTCAGAATACAAGCGGAAAAATGTTGTTTATCTAACGAATTTAACCCTTAAAAGCCGAGGGGGGTTCTGCTTATGGCAGGAGGGAGCTAACCACAAACATATAGATTATGGGCCCTCAGCATACTCATACTATAGTAAAAAATAACAATCTTGGTCTTCTTCCAGGACTACC